ACTTATGCCATACTTCGTACTTATGCATTATTAATTATTGCAAAACGACGTTTCGCTTCGCTCGTATAATACTTCACAATAAGAACAAGAACGTCGTCGCAGGTTGACAACAACAGACTGGAGAGGAATATATACAAGCCAATTTAACGATCGAATTAGCGAGCGAATCGAGACTCGATGTCTAATGAACAGCTCGTGTTAATATACGTAACACATGTTGACTTCTCTATATACAAAGATGTATGCGGCTAATTAAGTTTTTCCATTAAACGTCGAGAGGAATAAACGGTTTCCCAAATAGAAATTCAAAAACGCCTCGTAAGTAAAACCGAACAAGGACGCGTATAATTATGATAAAAAAAATGGTTATTATTTACAATAGTATAACTAACGATTCGCGCGCGATTGCGCGACGACGTGACGGCTTTATGTTCCGCAAAGAGTATATATATATATATATATATATATATATATATATATATATATAGAAAATGTGCGCAACAACGTGTATGCACAAGCGAGAATGCGCCACGAAAGCACTTATGGTCGTCGACAATCTTGAGAAACCGTGTCTCGATCCACGCGAGATTCAGCTATCAATTGAGGGGTTTTTAGCTGCTACATTCCGCGGAACATCCCAGGTGCGCTTATACTTGCGCAGTGATAAAGGTACAATAGAATTTTATTGATTATTCTATTTTTTTCTATCAATTCTCGATCGAAGGAAATTTCTGGCAATTTTTTTATCGCGTCTTATTCGCGCCTCGTAAAAATCTGATGACGCACAACAGATTCGGGTTCTTTTTAGCCTAACAATGCCGACTGGCCAATCGTCCGGTTGGGCGCATGTGCCCTTGATACGTGTTAATAGCGCAACAGCAGCGGTGACATTCCGTGCCATCGTTGGCGTAGTACTCTTTCGCTCGGGGAACGAACAGAGGCTATCCAATTACGATACAGCGAGCGGAGTCGACTGTTAGACGTCATCGCCGTTTCTGCGGATTAGTATTGTCATGCGAAAATAGCAGGCACCGGTAATATATCCCCGAGTTATAAACAATTAAAAATTCTCATTTATCCCTCTCACTTTGCGCTTTTAATAGCTGTCCCGCGTTAATTGAAACACTGCAGATATACACGCAACGTGAATCGAGACACTTTTCGAATTAAATTTATTTTACGACAATACCTTTTAATAAAATGTAATAAGTCTCACTGTAAAAAAAAAAATTAAAAATTTTCTTCCATAATTTCAGATTTTTTCTGGATTAATTATTTTTTAAATTATTTTGCTATGTAATAAATATTTTGTTCATACATATTTATATTTATCTTACATTTATATATTAACTATTAACAGTCGTTACCGAGGCGAATTCAATAATATATGTGACAAGATTTGTATAGATTATTCAATGTGTTTTCTCGAATAAAAAGTATGAAAAACATTTATTTCACGTTTTTTCAATTTAAATTTTTAAAGGAAAAAGCATCTCTTTTACCGTTCCACCGCGTTTGCTGACTCACTTTGTGTATAAAATGTTTAGGTCAAGTCAGGTAGATATGAGATGCTTGGGTTAGATCAGGTCAAGTATAGTTTAAAATCTTGAAACCACACATTTTTAAATTTTAAACTAAGCTTTAATAATCTATCGAGATATTATTTACGCTAAAAATTAAAGATTGAAAGATCAAAACTCCATTTTTCGCATAACTGATTCCCGGGTAGAAATCTGCCTCGATTTGCCGAGATTAAATACAGGGCCTAGATAAAAAAAATTCAGTTTGAAATATCTAAGCCCAGAATACAGAAATTACCTTTATTTTACCGAGGGAAAAAGTAATTGGAAAAATCTGCGTGGGTTCTCCACTGACATATTTTTCCCAAATTAGAATAAATATGAAACTATATATGGGGCCAGGATTGAATAATCTAGCTTATAGAAATAATTATAATACAAATCAAGCAAATATTTCAAAAAATTATAGGTCCTAGTTAGACTCCAAATAATTTTCTACGAATTCTGGGCGTAATTTTGAACCCATCCAGGTTCTACGATAAGACCTGTACGATGTAGGCGTTCCAAACTTTACATAGGTTCTTCACCTCAGATTTTTCACCTGCGGATTCCAGAAATATCTTTAAAAGAATATATGGACCCTTGTTTATTTCCAGACAAAATTTCTACCTGGGCTACACAGAGAGAATTTTCTCTTAAAATTTATCCTGAAAATCATGATGATTGTCGTGGGACAATATGGTATTGAAAGAATTTTATAGAGTTTCTCCGATTAATATTTACACAATAAAATATATTAATATTTACGACAATAAGATATTAAATATGCTCAATTAGTTTTACTATATATATAAATGTTTTATTGTGCATTTAAATATTAATCAGAGAAACTTTTATATATTATTTCACGATTACCATGATTTTTAAGATAAATTCTAAGAGAAAATTCTCTCCGTGTAGAAAAATACATTTTATAAAATTCTGATTTCAAATTGACTTTTATAAAATAATGCACAAATAAGTTAACAATAAAAATGTATCAATATTACAAAGTTTCAAGATTTCAGAGACAACGTTATTGTAAAAATTCCGAGAACAGTGTTGCATTTCGACCGATTCATTTTGGATCCAGGAATAAAGTGCCTCCCTGACAGTTCCAAAAAAAAAATCACTGCGTCTTCTCGTGATTTGCGACGACAGACAAAGAATAAACGCACCGCTTATAAGAATAACAAAACTCTCTGTGAGGAGGAACCGCGGGGTCTTTCGACGTTATTACCTGTCGTTAACGTCAGCCGTCAATAATCCAATAACATTTTTACGAATATTTCCAAGGCTAAACGTCCGGCAAACTTTTTACTTATTTCGCCTGAGTTAAGGCATACCTCAGGCAACAATCTCTGCCCGATGTCTACGATGTCGTAAATGTAATCGTTACTCGCGCGGTTCCGAGTTATTTTTCGCACCGCCAGTTTAATAAGGCGCATATTTAGCGACAAAGCGCGAAACAATGTCGTGAGAATCGATTGTAGATTCCGAATGCAATTCTAATTTTCATCGATGTAAGTCGTTCGAAGAATATATTTTTTTTTATTTTCTCTCTCTCTCTCTCTCTCTCTCTTTATAATAGATTGCATATTTCTCTAAATTTTTAATTCAATAAATAGTTGGCAGAGAATGCGGGGCACATACGTCTACTACTATCCATCAAACGTATCTTATTAGAAATCAACGAATACAAGGTTCGATCGATACGCTCGTGTCGTCGTTGCATCGTTCGCCGACTCGGAAATAATCGTGGAAAGGAACGGCCTCCATTTTCGGACGATGCGGTTGTACAAGGAAGGGGGTCGTATAGACGGGTGAGTGGCGTTTCTTCTCGAAACTTGAAACGCAGATCTACAAGAATGAAGATTGCACCTTGCTCGAATTCAAAAATCAAAACCGCCGCTTCACGTAATCGTAAAAAAAAAAAAAAATCAAAAATTACGAAGCGCATCTAAAAATCAAGGGATCGATTTTCCGAAAGATTAAAGATCTTTCTTTTATTACGTCCTTCCGCGAGAAAATTTTCGGGGAAAAAAAAAAAAGAATCGTCCTTTACAGATATCCGGAATTTACCGTATCCTAGCAAACACGAGTATAAATCGCGCGAATATCGAGAATACATAAAAACACCCTAGGAGACGGCGAAGACAATATATTTATGATAACGACGTAAGAGGTCGCTTTTCTCTACTCCCTCTCTCGGGAAAGAATGCTTCGACGCGAGCTGAAACGATCGGGCCTCGCGAGACCAAGACGATGTCGTCGTCGACGACGACGAGCAAAAGCAAGAGCACGGTCCACGCTCAATCCTCATCTCTCCTCCTCGCAGAGACACGCGAAGACGAAGACGAAGGAGAGCGACGTCGTCGCGACGCGACGGCGCGACGGCGGCGAACGAGGTTAGCCGAGCGGCCGCGAGGTCAGTGACTAAAGAGAGAAATATCGCGAAATCCAACCGTCGTCGCCACGCCGTCCCTTATCGACACGCTCGTCGGTTCTCCTCGAGCGTGCATCAAATCATCCTCATCTCGCGAAATCCTCGACTCTTAAGAAAACGAGAACGAAAAAAAGAAGGAAAAAAATCGCCACCTATGTGGAGCGTGCGGTCGTCTTGCTTCGCGTATTCTTTTTCTCTCTTCTTTCTCTTTCTCTCCCTCCCTCCCCCCTCCTATCCCCCGTCCCGTTTTTCTCCGCAAACGAGCGAATAATTTAAGCGGGGAGCACACACTTTTGCATAGACGCATAAGCGTAAACATGAGAATCTTGATTGGTTTATAAACGTATGCATAAGAAATTCAACCAATCAAATTTCTTATGCATATGTTTATGCGCTTATGCAAGAGTGTGTGTTCCCCGCTTTACACGGCGCGTTCCGAGGCCATTGATACGCGGCGTGAAAGCATGCGCGTGCGAAAAGCATTTTTCGTCGCGACGTAGCTCCGTAGCAACGTCGTAGCTCCGGACTACGAGAGAAACAACGCCCAAGAGCGGCGCAACCGTCCGAGAAAAAAATTTCGCGTGTACCTGCGCGCACCTTTTCTCTAACCTCCCCCTCTAACCTCCTCTGGCCGGGTCGCGTACCTTTTCGTTTCAAAAGATTCCGGCCGATAAAGAGACCATTCGGAACGATTTCTTTACACGGCAGAAAATAGAGAGGGAAAGAGAAAAGACATCTCTCCGCGGCGAAGGTCAAAAACATATCCTCCGACGATGTCGATACCGCACGCGAGATTTCGCCAGATAATAACCGAATCCGCTTCGCAAATACGTCACGTCACGCAAAAGAGACGCGTGTCGTCTGGCGCGCGTGCGGCGAAAAAAAGAGCGAGACCAAGAAAAGAGAGAGAGAGAGAGAGAGAGAGAGAGAGAGAGAGAGAGAGAGAGACGAAGGAGAAAGTAGAAAGAGAGATAAAGAAGGAACGAGGTACTTACTCGAAAAGCGTGGCGTCCAGTCGGGAACTCCGTTGGACTCCGTGTCTCGGAGTCATCACCTCCGTCACGCCGACGACGACGACGATCCCTCGTCTCTCGCCTCGGATCGAAAGTCGCCGCCTCGTCGAGAGAGATCCGGTATGGCGCGAGCACACTGTAAACACTTTTCTCCGCAAACGAGACGGAGAAAAACAACACACATCCACCACCCACGTAAAGAGACGGTCCGCGACAAGCACGAAAATGTTATATATCGGTGTCGGGCGAGAGTATACGTCCGAGCCGATCAACGTTTATTTATCCACGCTACGCAGAGTTTCTCTTTCCCGGAGTAGCGTAGCGCGAGATTGTTAGACGGTGACGACGACGACGCGTCGTGACGCGAAACGGCCGCGTCTCGTTCGACAAATATCACGGGTATCGCGTTCGGGGCGCGCGAGATTCCCGCGCGACTCGACACACACAACTTGTTTACTAGAACGCGCACCACGCCATGCCCCGTGAACGTGCGCTCGCGATCTCCCCCACCACGCCGCCGAGCAAAATAGGCGCATGCGCGCTGGCGCGACTCGCCGCCCGCGTCTACTCTTTCCCTCTCCACGGTATGCTTTGTACGTACGCGCGATAAAGCCGCCGCCGAATGCGCGGCTCGGCTCTCTCTCTCTCTCTTTCTATGCCTCGGCGTACTACGACGCAACCGCGCGACGAACCACCACGGTATGTAACGTGCGAACGCGAGCAACGGGTCATCGTACTCTCGCGCCATCGTCGACGCGCCTTCCTTTTACAAACCGTTCCTTTTTCGAACTGTCAAACGGCACCCCTGGCGACATCTGGCGCGCGCGGGCCAACTAAAATCGACGATCGGATGATAATCGATCGATCGAATCGATCTTGAAATTTGAAAAAGATCAAGTGGAAAAGGAGATTAGATAGACGATCGATTTTTTGAGATTTCCTCTGATACGAGACGGCGGGGCGAGTTGGAAAAAATTGCTGGAAGAAAGATAATGGATTTTTTGGTAGATTTATTGCGAGCTTGATAAGACTTGGCACATTCGCGCGAGTGTAAAAAATGAAATAACGTTGTCGATGTACACAGGGTTTATAGTCTGTTGGACGACAGTCGACGGGATGATAAATTAAATTGTGATCTATATCGGACATATTGCGAAAAGCATTATCGATCCGTCATTGTGTTTCAAGTTAGGCAACGCGATACAGATATCAAAGTTATGAGTCCCAGTATCATCGAGGAAGCACATACGATGGACAATGTGTCTCGATTATAATTGAAACAGAGTTCCTTGTCGTTGCATCTCCTGAAAAGGGAATAAAAGCGGAATATTGAAAAATAAACGGATATGTACGCATGCGGTGAATAACGAAGTGTTCGATCAAATTGCCGTCTGCGATCCGACGGTCGTTAAAAATAAATTATCTCCGGAATAAATTTAATAAATATATCCGCGCGATCCTCTCTCTCTCTCGTTTGCGCGCGCGAATCAATATATCGCGTATATGTAAAATTGTAACTCGTAATTGAATAAAATTCAATCCGCAGCGGAATATTACTCACCACTTCTCGATGAATATCACCACGAGGCCGGTGATGATTTTATCGAGGAACGTGACGATAGAATACACGAGCGCGCTGCGTTCCGTTCTGGAGCCGATTAATTCGGCGGTGACGCTCAATGCGGTGACCATCGTAATGGAGCTTCCCGCGCCAATTAATACGGCGATGACGTAGACGACCGTCGTGTTACCCGCGACAAATTCCGTCACCACCGACGCCGTTAAGCCGACCGTGGCTCCGAGAAGATAGCACACCTATTTTCGATTCGACGAAACGAAAATACAGATTCATTTTTCTCCTTTTTATTTTCCTCTCCTTATTTTACCCTCTTAAATTGAATCACGGCAAAAGTCATTGAATAATCCTTCTGTCATTTGCATAATTCTTCATCAACGTGTAGATGGGATTTTTCATATATTTCACTACGGACAATTTATTCTTTATCATCTGCTAGACAACACACATTATTGTTTTCTCTCTTTATATTTTACAAAGTTTCTAAATATAAAAGCTTTTGTACTCCAGACAAAGAAAAATTGCATTACGTTTTTAACATTTAAAATTGCATTTGGATTCTCGGGTATTCATCGAGCATTGACAGAAGGATTAAATTGGCAAAGGATTAAAAAATGTCGAACGTCGATGAAACATTCACTGACCTACGGTGAAAACGCTCACATTTTCTTTTTTTTCGTCTTATATCTCACGGATTACGACAATCAAATTTCGTACAACAACTAAAATTCAAACGAAGAATATACACATATTATGCTTTTTTATTTTAAGTCACAAACATGTGATAAAATGAATGAGACGTGTGTTTCATTGAACTTGGATATTTCTTCAACAAAATATATCGTTATAAATTTAAGGATATAACTTTCACTTTACTTTTAGACGTAGGTATTTTAAAATCTCATTGATTCCAAGAATTATTATATCAACTGATTTTCCTCAGTGAGATTTCTCTGTTTGCAGAGCTATGACTGAAAACATACTGCTCTGTCAGTACTAATGCACTGACTCCATTTAAGAGGGTGTCATCAAAGACTTACCTTGGTACCGCAACTTCTGTTGATGTATTTAAGTAGCAAAGCAGCCACAAATGAGGATACGTACGAGACTAATGGCACAGTGGCTAACGCTTGCTTGCCTCCGATTTCGGTCTCCTCTATATACAGAGGCAGGTATACGGTGCTGAGAGTGATGAATAATCTACTTGCTACGTAGAGCATCGCGACTCTCAATAAAATCGAGATACCGATCCATGATATTCGATGGTTCGTCAAATTGTCCAATGAAATCGGCTCCTCGATGTTCGCTTTCGAGGACGTTGCTCGCTCCAGAAGGTTCGCTTTCAGAAAAATGTGAAAAAAGACTGTCGCGGTGACGCCGAGAGTCGTGAGAACCAGAACGATATTCTGAAAGATATAAAATTCAATTCTACAATTTACAAGTTACAATTTCTTTGTTGGCGCACGCAACTTCTATCAACGTACTCTGAATTTATAATCGTCCTGCTGATCCAACTGAACCATCGACTCTCCATTACTTGGTAAAACTATCCACGTAACTACAAAAACTACCACGGCCGCACTAACTTGGGCGGAATATCTATAATCAAATTTATCTTGATGTAATTCAGATAGAAAGAGAAGGAGAGAGAAAAGAGAATGCTACAATTCACATACCTTATTGCGGTCAAATCGGCTCGAGCCAAGAGAGAATTAGTTAACGAGGGAATCATTGATAGATGAGAGATCTGTACGGCTGCCCAACCCGTTTGAAATATTGTAATACTCGTTATGTACAAAAACATGGCAGTGGTAGGGGATGAATTGGAGAAAACCGCCGAATATTATGGGAAAGGACAGAGTGACCATGATGGAACGAGGACGTGCCAGATCTTTTTCTTGCAGTAATGATCGACCAGGAAACCAAACACGGGTGTCGCAATCGCGTCGATGATTTGTCCTTGAATGAAAATCGTTTCGACATTAATCAGTAGCTAACGATGTAAGATAACGTCGTTATTTATACGTGTGTACGAATAATTGGACGCGTACCTAGGAGTAAAAGCGCACCGGCGACGACGGGTTTTAACAATGCCACTCGTTGAAGATAAATTAGGGTATAAGAGAACCACATTGCGGCTGCCAAATCGTTGAAGACGTGTCCAAGAGCATAAGCGAGTTTTGTGGACGTCGCTATTTTTCCGCTGTCCACGAGACGCGTTCGTTCGTTGGCGTTATCCATTTTATTTTCTTTTTTTAAGACCCTGCGTATTTTACAGGCTGTAGAGATGATGAAAACTTTCACAATTCCGGTGAATCCATCATGTTATTCCGATTTGTCGCGAAAAGTAATATCGCGTCCTCGTAATATCTGCGGGAAAATGAAATCAGGATAAATAAGATGGAAATTAAAATCTAATAAGAAGTTTCGCGCGGGAAAGAAACATTTCTGATCCAATATAGCGCGGATTAAAAGATTAAGGGTATAACAAGTTCGAAACTTAAATAGCAAAGATTTCTTTTACTTTGTACGATAACCAAAAGAAATGTCTATCGACGTTGGTTCTGTCTAAGGCAAACCTGCGGTCAACGTTCCTTTCACTTAATTAGATTTTGCTGCAAGCTATTTTCCCTTAGGAGAATTTCTCGTTAGGAGTTCGACTAATCACAGTTGCGTGATTAGTTATGGATTAGTTTACGAAAAGCAGATGTGTATCAGCGTACCGTAATATCACACGAGGGATTAAATATAGATCGTGTATCGATAATAGCATGTATCATTACAATAATGACGTCAATTCGACCCAATTGTTCAACATATGACTCATTAAGAGTGACATGTAATTACAGGAAAATTCAATTGAAAAAAAACTCTGACACAAAAATTGCAAAATAATAAAATAAAATACACGCACGCACATATGCCATATAGAAATATATAGAATAGAAATTTAACATGCATCTATAAAATTAATCTAAAATTTTACAAAAAATTGTGTAACACGCGAAGAGCTTAATAATTATTTTTTAATTAATAAAAATTAATTATACACAAAAAATATGAAACCGAACAACACCTTGCCAGCATCTATCTCGCTTCACGACTGACAAAGAATTTTCTGAAACTTGTCGAAAAAATAATCAGATTGTAGTTTACGTGATTTATCAATCCGAACGATATCAATGTTTTGAAACGTGTTGTAAGAATTATTGTGAAATTTTCCTTTATCGTCACAATACACTATCGCGATCGGATACCGCTGCTTTGCGTGCAGGTGAAACGACTGAGCTGTGAAACGTATATACATTATACATTACACATACGTCGTTCCTTGCCAGAGAGGGATTATATACCAATTCACACACCAGGAAGATACTTATGGGACAATATCGGTGGCATTAATGATAAGCTTATCAGTATGTGAATCTCATTTACACGTCAGAACAAATTAAAATTTCCATTAGTCTTTTTAATAAATCACTTTTTCATTTTTCGCAAACAATATCAGATACATTCATATTTATGAATATGACTAATATTATATTTAACGTGCAAATTTTTATCATGCTTTGATTTGTATATTTTGATGAAATTTGTGTAATTAATAATTCTTTAGTACTTTCTTTTTATTCTCAAAGAGATTTAAACAATTAATCATATAAAATCACAGATAAATCCTTTACGTGTCAATAATTGTTTAAAAATTTAAAATTATGCATACTATTATGACCAATAAAATGTTATTTGAAATTCAATAGGAAAAGGAAGCTATTAGGGACATTGATGTCGTATATGTTACTGGACAGAACAGGCCCTGTAATACGAGATTTCAAAAGAAAAATGCGAGCCTGCACACATGAGGGAATCGATACCAAGCGAGTTCTTATACGGTCTCCCGGTCAGGCGACCCAGCAAACTATGGTCAACTTCTCATTTTGCACACCATAGCTGTACTGCTTTAAAATATGTAGCTCCTAAGGGAATAATAACAGAAACGGATAAAATAAAATTGATTTTACTCTTAAATAGATTTATATTACATAACATTTTCTGAAAAAGTATCATCTGTAATTCTCGTCGTAATATTTAGGAAAATATTTTTACATTAGGTTCTAGTTAAAATTATTTATCTATAAAAAAAGAAATTTAGAAAGATATATTTCCTTATTGTTAGTAAAATATAATTATTTTGCTTTAAAAAAATCCAGGATATTACAAATATAAAAATATAAAATTATGTTTAAGAAACTAAATATGTTTGATAATTTAAATTTAAAAAACAGCGCCTATACGT